GAGGGAGGGAGAGAGAGAGAGAGAGAGAGAGAATTTTTAATATTTATTTTTTAGTTTTCGGCGGACACAACATCTTTGTTTGTATGTGGTGCTGAGGATCGAACCCGGGCCGCATGCTTGCCAGGCGAGCGCCCTACCGCTTGAGCCACATCCCCAGCCCTTTTTTGTCATTTTCTATATTCACTCCAGGATACCCTGATTTCCTAAATGATTTTTTGTATTTTTTGGTTTTTGCAGTGCTGGGGATCAAACTCAGGGCTTTGCACATGCTAAGTCCTAAATGATTTTTTGAAATTTGTATTCATTAGAGCCTGGTGCCATGGAAACTGCTTGGTCCCACTTGCTTGGGAGGCTGAGGCAGGAGGATCCCTTGAGCCTAAGAGTTCAGGGCCAGTCTGTACAACAGAGAGAGACCCTGTCTCTTGAAAAAAATTGCATATATTAAGGTTCATTCTTTGTGCTATAATGTCCTATGGGTTTTTATTTTTTATTTTGTGGTTCTGGGGATTGACCCCAGGGCCTTGTGCATGTGAGGCAAGCACTCTACCAACTGGGCTATATCCACAGCCCCATTATTGTCTTTTGAGGTTTGATAACACATTCTTTTTTATTTCTGAAAATATTTATATGAATGTATTGCGGTTTGTTAATCAGTTCACTCATTGAAAGATATCTTGGTTGCTTTTAGTTTGGGCAATTGTAAGTAAAGCTATAAACATTTGAGTGCAGTTCTTTATGTAGGCATAAATTTACAAATTAATAGGTACCTGTGAGTGTGATTGTTTGGTCAAATGGTAATACTATTTAGCTTTGGAGGAAAGTGACAAATTGTCTTCCAGAGTAGCTGTACCATTTTCTATGTTTATATTCAGTGAAATGAGTATTGGCCTCTATCCTTGACAGCAACTGGCATTGTAATTTTTTTAAAATTTCAGACATTCTTAACCTGGCATGCTGTTCACTAACTTGAAAGCTCAGTTCTTGGGCTGCGGTTATGGCTCAGTGGTAGAGCATTTCCCTAGCATGTTTTAGGCCCTGGGTTTGATTCTCAGCACCATATATAAATAAATAAAATAAAAGTCAACAACTAAAAAAATATATATATTATATATATTTTTTAAAAACTTAGTTCTTTAAGCTGCATAGCTTACTGAAAAAGCAAGAGTAGAATCCAGCTGGGCATTTGGTTTCCAGAAGTAATTTTTAAGTAACCCTGGGGACAACAGGACTCAAAACAACCTGTTCTAATTCTCCGTTTCTTGTTTTCATTGTGCACTGAAGGTAATGGGAAGATCACTTTGAATATCCCAAAAGAATACCACAAGTTTAAGCTGGGATAATATGTATTTGTATGGCACCTAAGGGATTCACACCTAGTGTTTTCTGTTGCGTTATTGAGTGAGTGTACCACTTACACTGGATGGTATGCTGGATGACGGAACAATTGGGCAAGGTCTCATCCTCAGTAAACTTCCAGTCTAACTGGGGAGAAAAAACAGTTGAGGCCATAATGTGGGAATAGAGGGAGCTATGGAACTGGTCGAGGAGGGGTCAAGAAAGGCTCCTTGGTGCTGGGTTGTAGTTCAGTGGCAGAACACTTGCCTAACACATGTGAGGCACTGGGTTGGATCCTTAGCACTACATAAAAACGAAACAAAAAAGGCATGCTGTCTATCTACAAATACAGTTTTTTTTTTAAAGGCTTCTTAGAAGAAGTGGCCTCTAAAATGTGTGCTGCAGCAGGGGTTGGGTCACAGTTCCATAGACTGAATTCAGCCTGTTGCCTCTTGTTATACAGCTTGTGAGCTAAGAATGATTTCTTTCCTTTTTTTTTTTTTTTTTTTAAGGCAGAGTCTGTATTTTGCCCAGTCTTGCCCCAAACTCTTAGAATAAAGTAACCCCCCTGCCCCAGCCTCCTGAGTAGCTGCAACTAAAAATGTTTGGATGTTTGAAAAGACTAAAGAAACATTTTGTGACACATGGAAATTACATGAGATTCACACCTCAGGATCCTTATATAAAACTTTATTTGCCCCTTGATTGCAGAGCCAGGCAGTTGATTGCGACACAGACTGTAAGGCCTGCAAAGCCGAGGACACTACTCTCCAGCCCTTTCAGAAAAAGTTTTCTTACCCCTGCTTACAGGATGGGTAGGAGTTAGCTGCCAACCCGTAATGAGTTAGAGGGGAGGTGGTTTCTTTTTTTTTTTTTGGTACAGGGATTGGACTCAGGGGCACTCAACCACTGAGCCACACCCCCAGCCCTATTTTGTATTTTATTTAGAGACAGGGTCTCACTGAGTTGCTTAATGCTTTGTAGTTGCTAAAGCTGGCTTTGAACTACTGATCCTCCTGCCTCAGCCTCCTGAGCTGCTCGGATTGCAGGCATGCACCACCATGCCTGGCAGGAAGGTGGTTTCTGATGGGATCTTTGCATAGCTGCAGTGACTTTGATGTGCTTACAGCCTGGTATCAAGCAGGTAGTGGCCAGAGGACTGATGAGAGGTGGCAGCATCCAAACGAGAAAGAACCTTGGCCACCATATGAAGGGATTGGGATTATTCAGTGGAAATCTAAAAAGCGTAAAGTGAGGTGAGCAGATTTACTTAAAGAAGAAAAAAAAAATCTGCTGGGCTCAGTGGCACACACCTGTAATCCCAGCAGCTCAGGAGGCTGAGACAGGAGGATCACGAGTTCAAAGCCAGTCTCAGCAAAAGTGAGGCATAGCAACTCAGTGAGACCCTGTCTTTAAATAAAATACAAAAGAGGGCTGGGATTTGGCTCAGTATCTGAGTACCCCTGAGTTCAATCCCTGGTATCCCCGCAAAAAAGAAAAGAGGCAGGGAGGCTAGTTGAAGCTCTTGTAGTCATTCAGTTGAAATACTGGTAACCGATTGCTGCAGTGACATTGGGGATAGGCTATAAGGATTCGAGGGGCATTTCCAAAGCCAAATTGAAAGGCCTTTATGTCCTAGTCCTTTCAGACCACTGTTTTTCATGATAAAATACATAATATGGATGGCTGTTAATGACAGATTTGTTTGCCACCAGGCACAGTGGCACATACCAGTAACCCCAGCAGTTCAGGAGGCTGAGGTAGGAGGATCGCAAGTTCAAAGCCAGCCTCAGCAAAAGTGAGGTGCTAAGCAACTCAGTGAGACCCTGTCTCTAAATAAAATACAAAATAAGGCTGGGGATGTGGCTCAGTGGCCCAATGCCCCTGAGTTCAATCTCTGGTCCCCGCCCTCTGCCAAAAAAAAAAAAATGACAGATTGTTTCCCACAGTTCTGGAGGTAGGGAAGTACAGGATCAAGGCTCCAGTAGAATTCAGTGTCTGGCTAGGGCCCACTTCCTGATTTACCTGTGACTGCCTCCTCTGTGTCCTCGTGTGGCAAGAGTAGGAACTCTTTTGTTTCCTCATCCCTACATGTGGGCACTAATCCCATTTCAGAGGGCTCACCTCATGACCTAAACACCTCCTGCAGGTTTCACCTCCTAATACCATCATTTTGGGGCTTATGATTTCCATATATGGAAGGGAGGGGCATAAACATTCACAGCGTTTGGGATTGATTGGAGGTGCTGAAATGTAACTATTTTCATGTTAATAAAATAAAAACTATTTTTATTTTTACTTTTGAAAAGTTTGTTGGTTTTTTTTTTTCCAGGTCTTTTGTGCTTTTATTAATAAAGCAGATGAAAGTTTGACTTTCCCAATTCATTACTAAAATATAGCAAGATATACAGATGTACACATAAGCATACACTATTATAAACAATGATAAAGTCAGTGAGAAATCCATGTTTAGTAACAGTCTTCAGAGCAGAATTCTTTTTTTTTTTAATATTTATTTATTTATTTTAGTTTTCGGCGGACACAACATCTTTGTTTGTATGTGGTGCTGAGGATCAAACCCGGGCCGCACGCATGCCAGGCGAGCACGCTACCGCTTGAGCCACATCCCCAGCCCCCCCAGAGCAGAATTCTTCTGCAGTGTTTCACGCGCCTAGTCTTCCCTCCCATAATTTGTGAATTGATGTTGCCTCTCTGTGGCTTTGTCTTGTTCCCTGTTGACTAGAATTTTGGCTTCTAAGGAGGAAAAGTTCTTGGCAGATTAATTTCCTTTTTAGGTTTATCTTGGTTTTACAAATCTCTCCAAATATTTCTTTGTTGAGAGTCCTTGGGCTCTTTGGTTTTTAAGGCACTTCTCATTCCCATAGCACTTAGACCCTTTCCAATTTTAGATCTCTTGACCTTTGCCTTTCTCTTCCTTGGAGCCGCAATCTCACTTGCAGAAGATGGTAATAAGATCACTATCTTCTATTTTATGATATGTCAGTGGCTATTAAAGTGCTTACCCTTACATGTCAGCTCATTTGATTGCTAAACCCGGAACAAAGGCAGGACAAGTCAAATTACTGAGATTAAGAGGGTGGGGCTGGGTGTGCTGGCACATGCCTGTACTTCCAGCAAATGAGGAGGCTGAGGCAGGAGGAACGCAAAGTCCAGGCCAGATGCAACAATTTAGCGAGACCCTCAGCAATTTAGGAAGACCTGTCTCAAAGTCAAAAATAAAAAGGTCTGGGGATGAATTTCGTTGGTAAAGTGCCACTGAGTTCAATCCCCAGTACCTTTCCCCCAATAAATAAAAAAGAGAGGGTGGCTTATTCAAAGTCAAAAGATCAATAAATAATAAAGCATAAGATACAACTTGGGTTTTCAGATTTTAGAGTTTTATTCTTAGTATAATACACCCTGTCCCCAAGAAATGGGAGTGAAGAGTAGCTAGCATGGTTAGTCAGCAGTAAAGACTTCCAGGTGAAGTCCTTTTTCTCTATCCGCCCAGTGGGACTTCACCCAGACACTGGCATGGGCCTTTCCAGTGCTTCCGAGCTCTCCGCAGACTACCTGTGATTCTTAGGCTGACATTTGGGAAAATTGTGGTCTGGTATGTTAAAGTATATGTTTAGTGGGTTTTAATTCCTTCTCCTTCTCTTTAGGTGGTTCAAACTTCAACAATTCAAGGCTGAATGAGAAAGGTCTACTTGTGGACCAAAGCTCCGGGGGTCAGGATAAACCAGAAAGCTTGCTCCCGAGGTAATGAAGCTCTTCCTTTATTTGTATCTCTTAGGACTGAGGTTCCCCTCAGTAGAGAACCAAGACCACTACTGCATGTGATGTAAATTGGCCCAGGCAGCTGGCCTAAGACATGTCCTTAATACTGATATCCATGGAGCCCTTACTATGTACGCCAGCATCATCCTCTTACATGGACTGTCTTTGACCTAAAGGCTAACTACTTTTCTCTGTTTGGCAGCTAAGGCAACTCAGGTAATAAAGAATTTACATGAGTCACCCAAGGTCCCAGAACTAGCAAGTGGCTGATCTAGGATTTGAAACGTGGCATTCTAACCCTCGATTGGGAATGTAGAAAATTAGAAATATTTGATCTTTTCCCTCTCATTCTTTTAGGAGTTTCCTGATGATGAAGATACTTCTTTCTTTTTTCCTTTTTTAATCCCCCTGCCCCTTGTGCATTAGTCTATACTCCAGTGCCCGCTATTGATCATAGCCAGAATCATCTGGTCAAGATTAAACTGGCCTTTCTTACTTATGTCAGTATTTTAATTAAGCATTTAAGAAGCAGTGAGCAGGGGCTGGGGAGATAGCTCAGTTAGTAGAGTGCTTGTCTCGCATGCACAAGGCTCTGGATTCAATCCCTAGCACCACCAAAAAAAAAAAAAAAAAAAAAGAGCAATCTTGCAAATTTAATTGTAGCTAGAGCTATCATTCTCACCTCATTCAAGTCATCTTGGTGTACACAGGTACATTTACATAGTCTTAGTCTATAATGATAGTAATAGTATACATGCAAGATTGTTGTAGCCAGCTGTGGTGGGGCATACTTATAATCCCAGCAATTTTGAGAGGCTGAGGCAGGAGGATCCTAAGTTTGAGGCCAGCTTCGGCAATTTAGTGAAATCCTGTCTCTAAAAGGGCTGTGGGGGCCAGGGTTGTGTAGCCAGGTGTGGTGGAGCATACTTGTAATCCCAGCAATTTTGAGAGGCTGAGGCAGGAGGATCCTAAGTTTGAGGCCCCTGTCTCTAAAAGGGCTGTGGGGGCCAGGGTTGTGGCTAGTGGTAGAGCACTTGTCTAGCATGTGTGAGGCACTGGGTTTGGTCCCTGGCACCACATAAAAATAAAAACAAATAAAATAAAGGTATTGTGTTCATCTACAACTGAAAAAAAATTTTAAAAAAGGGCTGGGGATGTAGCTTAGTGGTAAAGTGCCCTTGGATTCAATTCTCAGTACCCCCACCCCTCAAGATTGTTTTAAGTGTCTTACATATCTTAGTTCACTAAGTAACCTTCAACAAAAATTTCTTGAGCTGTTATGTAGGGTTCTGTGTGGTCGATATGTCAAATTTTGCTTACGTTGCACATAATTTGTAGTATAAGTACTACATAAATAATAATGAAATATATTTTAATTGTCTTTTTATTTTGGATTATTCCTGTGGACTAGAGATGCAGAGTAAAATTATCAAATCAAGGGTTTTATCATCTTGTGACACATCAGATCTGAATCTAAGCACTCTGCCACCATCCAATGGGCCAAATCATGGGTGATGCTGGTTTTTTTTTTTCCTCACTTGAAAATGAATGAATTGTCAGACCTGGTAGTGCACATCTGTAACTCCAGTGCCCTGGCAGGTTGAGGTAAGAGGTTCTCAAGTACAAGTAGTCTCAGCAATTTAGTAAGACTCTGTTTCAAAGTTTAAAAAAATACATAGCTGTGTGTGGTGATGCACACCTGTAATCCCAGCTGCTCAGGGGGCTGAGATAGGAAGTTTGTGAGTTCAAAGCCAGCCTCAGAAACTTAGTGAGGCCCTAAGCAACTTGATGAGACTCTGTATCTAAATAAAATAGAATAAAGGGCTGGCTGGGGATGCGGTTTAGAGGTAAAGTGCCTCTGGGTCTAATCCCTGGTACCAAATTTTTAAAAAATACTAATTGAAAGGGCTGGGGATATAGCTAAGTAGTGGCGTGTCACTGGGTTCAATTCCCAGTACCACATGCAAAAATAAAAAAGAAAGAAAGGAAGAGAAAGTGAATGAAGCCAGGTACTCCTGTAATCCCAGCCACTTAGGAGGCTGAGGCAGGAGGATTGCAAGTTTGAGGCCAGCCTCAGCAATTTAGCAAGAACCTGTCTCAAAATAAAAAGGACTGGGGTGTAGCTCAGTGTTAAAGTACCCCTGAATTAAATCTTCAGTACCAAAAAGGGAGGGGAAAAAAAGAAGAAAGAAAAAAAAAAGAAAATGAATGAATGAATTATTAGATATATCTTTAAGATCACCTTCTAGCCTAAGATTCTATGACTGTATTATCAGAAGACTCTCTAGACCAGTCCACTATGCAATCAACAACACATAAGTTCACTTAATTCCCCATAGAAGTAGTGTTTCTTTGGCAAATTTGGCTTCTTTAGTCTTCTGTGATTCGGATGCTAATGTGTGGGGACTTCTAGCTTCATACTCATTTATTTTGCCATGGAGAACTCATCAAAATATGGAAAAAAAAAAAAAAAAGGCGCTGGGGATGTGGCTCAAGCGGTAGCACGCTCGCCTGGCATGCGTGTGGCCCGGGTTCGATCCTCAGCACCACATACAAAACAAAGATATGTTGTGTCCGCCAATAACTAAAAAATAAATATTAAAATTCTCTCCCTCTCTCACTCTCTCTTTTAAAAAAAATATGAAAAAAAGTTTTTATTTTTTTCCAGACAGAATAAATCCAAGTCTGAGATCACGGACATGGTTCGCTCCTCCACTATCACAGTATCAAACAAGGCTCATATGTTATCCATGCAGAAGTTTGGACTGCGAGATACAATTGTGAAATCACATCTGATACAGAAAGAAGAGGATTATACCTATGTCCAAAACTTCAGGTAACTAATAGGGTCATAAATAGTTTTCAAAGCAAAATGATCATTCAGTTCTCTGGAATTTAAGCACTTTCCACCATATCCTGGATTTTGAAGCAAATAATTCTGTAGAATTTCTCCTTTCCTTTTCAATATGAGTAACTGCATTCACTCTTCATCACAGGCATTTTTCCTGTATCTCTTCTAGGCACGCACTGTGATAGGTATGGTACAGTGGGAGTGGCACAGCTGGCAGATAGCTACCAAAATACTTGCAGAAATAGATACAGAAGAAAGAGAGATATCCTGAGTTTGTGTATCAGTCTCAGGTCTTCTATTCCTTTAGTCATTCTGAGCCTCTGAAGAAATCATTTAAAATATAGTCAGTTAGTGTTTGGTAATCTTTTTTATAGGATTACCAAAAGTTAAATGAATAAAAGAGCTGGGACTGTGGCTCCATGGTAAAACGCTTGCATCACATATGTGAGGTACTGGGTTCCATCCTCAGCACCACATAGAAATAAAGTTACTGTGTGTTCATCTACAACTAAAAAAATATGTATTTTAAAAATTTTATTAGTTATTGATGGGCCTTTATTTATTTATTTGTTTATATGTGATGCTGAGAATTGAACCCAGTGTCTCACACAGGCTAGCAAGCACTCTGCCACTGAGCCACAACCCCAGCCCCTACAACTAAAAAAATGTAAAAGTGTGACTGTACATATGGTGTGATGTGCTACATCGTGTACAACCATAGAAACATAAAGTTGTGCTGCAGTTGTGGACAATGAATCAAAATACATTCTGCTGTCACGTATACCTGATAAAAATAAATTTAAAAAATAAAAATAAGAAATTATTTTTAAAAAAGTTAAATGAATAAAGGTTGCAGGATTCTGCTGGATCTTTAATGGGATTACAAGTCAAAATAACATTTTTTCTAGAGATATAAATAGTTAGTTATGATAAAGTAATAACCTTCTGAGCACTGGTGTTGTTTCCTTGCCAAAAGTAACTTCCAAGGCATTTCTCACTTGAGTAGCATACACAGGGTAAGCAATCGTTTTGTGGATGATGGCTCCGTAGTGGCTGTTGAAGGGAAATAAGAATGTTCAGGGTGGGTCTGTGTTGTGTGAATTCTTTATCACAAAAGCAACAGACATCATGGAGTCTGCTAGTCACCCTTGATGCCATAGTCACTGGTCCTGGTTAAATATGACATTTCTATGTCTTAAAATGCCACTGTGTAGAGACTGAAACTAGGTAAAATCAGCATAAATGCTTTCCCCAGTCTCTCCTCAGTGCTTCCAGGTCACTGATCAATTCTCTTTGATGACAGGTTTTTTGTGGGAACTTACAATGTGAATGGACAGTCCCCTAAAGAATGCCTCCGCCCTTGGCTGAGCCATGGTATCCAGGCTCCAGATGTGTACTGTGTAGGGTGAGTGCTTCTCTCCTAGAAGTCTCTTCTTTCCTCAGAATGTATGTACAGCTGTGGTCATGGGGACTTGGACATGTAGCTGTGTTTTCAGGACAGTGAAGGAATTGAAAACTGAGTGCACGTTTAATCGCTGCTTCTCTGCTTGATGTTCTTCTCCTGGTACACAAAGGTCCAGCAAAGTGCTGTGCATGGCATTGAAATGCTCATATTTGATTTTTAGTGTAGATTTCTGTTAAAATCAGTGCGTCCTGAACTGAATTTCATTACTTAGGCATTCAACACCCTTTTGGTCACAAAACAAAAATACCTTTTGCCAGGGAAGGAAACTAAGTCCCATAGATTAGTATTTTTTTTTTTTTTTTTGGATATTGGGGATTGAACTCAGGGGTACTGGACCACTGAGCCACATCCCCAGCCCTATTTTGTATTTACTTAGAGACAGGGTCTCACTGAGTTGCTTAGTGCATTGCAGTTGTTGAGGAACTTGCATTCTCCTGTCTTAGCCTCCCAAGCTGCTGGGATGACAGGTGTGCGCCACTGTGTGCTGCTTTTTTTTTCTTTTTTAAGTACTGGGGATTAAATCCAGGAGTCCTCCACCACTGAGCTACATTCTTGGCCCTTTCTTTTTCTTTTTTGAGACAAGAGTCTCACTTAGTTACCCAGACTGGCCTTGCCCTTGAGATTCTCCTGCCTCAGCCTCCTATGTATTTGGGATTACAGGTTTGCACTTATGCACTCAAATAGTCATTTATTTTTTTTTCCCCTTTCTCTTCTCTCATCACTGTACTGGGTACTGTTAGTGGGGAGTGGCAGCAAAGGAAGCTGTTTTGTATATTGGAAAAAAGTAGAATTTGGAGTTCACATAGACCTAGATTTGAATCCCAGTTTGCCACTTGGGCTTATGTGAACTAGTGATTGCAGATATAAAATGGGCATGCTGCTAAACTACTTCGTAGTCTGGGTCATGAAGAGGAAATGGGCTGATGTTTGCAAAAGTACCTGGTAAATTCCATGGTGTTTAGTTCTTTGGCTCCAAGTGTTTATCTTTCTTCCCTCCTGAAGGTCCTGCAGTTCAGCTTAGACAGCTAGTACTTATGCACGTAAATCAATTCAAGAATGTATTATTTGCATATTGCATTTCTCTATTAACTTGTTGCTTCTCCAATAGATTCCAGGAACTCGACTTGAGTAAGGAAGCCTTTTTCTTTCATGATACCCCAAAGGAAGAAGAATGGTTTAAAGCTGTGTCAGAGGGTCTTCATCCAGACGCCAAATATGCAAAGGTAAGAAAGGAGTCAGGGACCTTTTACTTTTATGTTACTGCGCATAGGGAAAGTCTAAGATAATTTTTCACCCTTTTCATCATCTTTATTGTAAGCCAGTCATAATTATGCTGCTGTTTTCAGTTCCAGGGCCTCCAAAGGGGTATCTCTGGGTGGGAAAGACACAGGGCTTTGGTGCTTGTAAGCTCTTCTGTTATCATGTAGCATGCCTTGTGTTCTGACATGAAGAAGGAGATATATTCTCAGCCATCTTTGAGACCCCTTTTCCTTTGGGATATTTATACCTGTTTGCACCTTCTATCTTATGTCATGACTGGGATGTTCTTCAGGTGAAGCTTATCCGACTGGTTGGGATTATGCTGCTGTTGTATGTCAAACAAGAACATGCAGCGTATATCTCAGAAGTGGAAGCTGAGACTGTTGGGACGGGAATCATGGGAAGGATGGTAAGTTTGGGGTTGTTGTGTCTGACATATAAGGGCCTTGGCCCCTAAAGTTTTAACTCAGCATCTCGAGATGCAGCGACCACATGTGTCCTAGTTTGAGAGTGTCAGTGTTACAAGCTGAGTTTACCCTCAAGCAAGGCTGGATTGAGCAGACTGTTTAGAAATCATGTGGTAGGGGGCTAGAGGTGTAGCTCAGTGGTAGAGCACTTGCCTCGCATGTGTGAGGCACTGTTTGATCCTTAGCACCACATAAAAATAGATAAATAAAATAAAGGTATTGAATTGTCCATCTACAACTAAAATATATAATTTTTTTTTAAAGGGGGCTGGAGTTGTAGTTCAGTAGAAGAGTATTTGCCTTAGCATGTGTGAGACCCTGGGTTCAGTTCTCAGCACCACATATAAATAAATAAATTAAAGGTCCATCCACAACCAGGAAGGAAGGAAGGAAGGGAGGGAGGGGGGGAGGGAGGGAGGGAATCATATAGTAGAAATCATATAGTAGAAATCATATAGTAGTAAATTGTTGGCTGATTTTAAGGAAGGAAGGAAGGAATCATATAGTAGAAATCATATAGTAGAAATCATATAGTAGTAAATTGTTGGCTGATTTTCCTGAATAGCACTCATCTGTATTTACTCAATGCTAGAGCTTCTGGTTGATCCTGCCATTTAACCCATGAAGTATGGTACAGAAATTACATTGGGTTACCAAGGAAGACTAAGATATTAGGTTTGCAGTTTCCTTCTGTTCTTGAGGGTACTAGAGTCCTGTTCTTAGGTTCTCCTGCAGAGCTGAACCCCATGTGATGAAGGGAGAGCCTGTGGCTCACCTATGATAAGAGAATAGAACACTCAGTTGAGAGAGCCGGGCTCTGAGCTCTGCTCCCACTGACTGGCTAGTTATTTTGCCTTCATGGAATTGTTTTCAATAGAATAACCTCACAGGGTTATTATGAAAATGATTTAAGAAAAAAACATTTTGAAAGTTTGTGGCTTGAAAAGACTAACACAATTAAGTTGTGAATTGGATTTGGGGGCATCCTTTTAATAGGGTAACAAAGGAGGCGTGGCGATCAGGTTCCAGCTGCACAATACCAGCATCTGCGTCGTGAATTCTCACTTGGCAGCCCACACAGAAGAGTATGAAAGGAGGAACCAAGACTATAAAGACATTTGTTCTCGAATGCAGTTTTGTCAGGTGGACCCAAGCCTGCCCCCTCTCACCATCAACAAGCATGAGTGAGTCTGGGCTTCTCCAAATAGTTGTCATGTGTGATGTGCAGAGTTGTGGGCTGTGTCTTACTGGGGAGATGACTGCTGGAGTGGGGGTATCTGTCTGCCAGCTCTTGGCTACTTGTGGATTATATCTCTTGGAAGTTTTTAGTTTCCTGATTACCATCTGACAGACCCCTAGAATTATGCTCAAGCGTCATTTGTCCAAGGACAAGTATAATATTTAGTCAGTGTGGATCTTCCTTGACCTGACACTGTGAAGAGAGCAACCAAAGAGCAAGCATCTCAAACAGTGTTTACAAGTGTGTTTTAGGATTTGCTGTCTGTTGTTTCCAGATCACGGTAAACGAGAGTTGGACCACGCTTGTTTGCCTCCCACAACTTTTTCCTCTTGGTTCAGCTTTACAAAGCTGTAGTTGCAGCTGCTTTGAGCTTCTTGTATTAGTTTTTGCTCATTATCCTTATTGTGTTTATATCTACAACTTGCTGTTTGTCTGAATTCAAAACCTCAGAATTTCAGACTTTATGGTAATAGTGGAAGCCTCTGCCACTTCTTTGACAAAGACAAAGAAGCTGCTGGGGCCTCGCCTCGGTGCCTGCCATAGAATAAACAAAGTCACACCTCTCACCTTGCCTATGGCAGTGGAGCTGTCCCTCGCTTGTGGGTGTTCTAGATACTAACAGGATGGCTTTTCTCCTCCAGGGCCTCTCCTGAGACCCCCAGCAGGGAGTATGTCTTACAGCTGAGCTCCTCACATTCTTGAACCACAGGATCCTAGTTTGTGAGAATGCAGCTCGAGTGTCTGTGGTCTGCTCTTAGCATGTGGATGCATTTATTTGGATGTGTGTACACAGCTGTGCAGATTCTCTATGACATGCTTGTTGGCTTCAGATAAAATAGTATTGGATTTCATGAGATGTGTGATATCATCAGGGATCCTTCGGTTTGCTTTTTTCCAAAGCAGCAGATACAATAAACCACCTGTCACCTTGTGCCCAGGAGTACAGAATGAGCCAATCAGTAATGTGGTGCTAAGATCCAAGCTCCTGTCTAAAGATTGAGTTTTGTTTCAGAGGAGTTCAATCTAGAAGCAAAGGCCGAGAGTATGTTTTGTGGACTGGGATGCAACGTAGAGGCAGAGGTGGCATGAAGGCATAGTCTGGTTTGGAGGTCTCTAGGTGATTGGCATGACTCTCAATTTTTTATCTTTTTTTTCCCACTTCTCAGCAAAGGAGTGAATTTTTACCTTGCTTTTAGATCTCATTAGACTGTCTTTCTAATTATCTAAGAATAAAATAGTCAAGGAGAACTCAAGGCTGTTTAAAATGAACTTGGATCAAGATAATTGAGTAGGCAGCATGTTAGACATGGTATTGGATGTGAGGGCAAGAGAGAAAAATTTTTGGAACAGCTAAGTCGCTTCCCCACCCAGCTCCCAAGAGGCTGGGCCTCAGGGGCCTTATGTCAGAAGCACCCTGGAGAGGATAGATTAAAGACCCTCCTAAACTCTGTTACCTTTGTGCTCTGTCCTCACAGTGTGATCTTGTGGCTGGGGGATCTCAACTACAGAATAGAAGAACTGGATGTGGAAAAAGTGAAAAAACTCATCGAAGAGAAGGCCTTTCAAACTCTGTATGCATATGATCAGGTACAGATGGCCACCTATGTCCTCTTCAGGCATCTGCTCCCCACTGTAAGGGCACAGGAAAGCTCAGCTTCCCAACCCTTGGCTTTTTCCTTCTAGTTTGGAAGGCGATCCTGAGGACCTGATGTTGTCCAGCCATTTCTTTGTTTCATCTGCGCTTCTCTCTTCAGAAATGTTTTCCTCTAGGCACCTTGTCTCCTTTGGGAACAAAAGCATGTTCTCTTCCATTCATTCAAGAGGTCTGAAGTTGACACGGAAGGGTCCAACTTCTGTAAAGAAAGTGTTTTGTATCTTTAAGATGATTCAGTAATTTTTTTAGAAGGAGCCTCCTGCTCCCTATATCCTTCTCCTTACCAGACTTCTCCAGTGTGAATGACAGCTCTAAGGGCCTTCCTGCACCTTCTCCAGGAGCCAGTTCTGTAACCTATTCTCCGACATCATTTGACTTAGCATTTCTTTCTCAGAGCATCAGTCATTTCTCAGGTCAAGAGAAGTCTGTTTCTCTCTCGCTTTCTTCTGGCTACTCCTGCTTATTGGTCAGAGTTCAAAGTTCTTTTTCTTTTTTCATCTCCTGAGTCCCCATCTTTTAATAATCACTAAGGTTATTGTCATTAATCTAAATCTTTCTATTATCTCTTTCTTCTGCAGTACAGATTTATCAAAGGAAAAGAACCAACTCTGAAATGTCTTTCCTTTTTTTAATTTTATTTATTTATTTATTTTTTTAAATATTTATTTTATTTTTTTAGTTATCGGCAGACACAACATCTTTGTATGACACAACATCTTTGTTTGTATGTGGTGCTGAGGATCGAACCCGGGCCGCACACATGCCAGGCGAGCGCGCTACCACTTGAGCCACATCCCCAGCCCCTTTCCTTTTTTTTATTGACTCATTTTTTTTCCCCCTCTCCAGCTCTTTTCCTGGGTAAATTACTTTTATTCTACTTAATCTCCATGTCAGCATTCACCCAGTTTGTTTCCTATCTGTCTGTTTATTTCTCTCTGTGTTCTGGACTGAGACATTCCAGTTTTCCTTATAATTTGATACCCATTTCCACTCGACTTCTATTACTTCTTTCCTGAAGTAGTACCACCCGTTTTGTGTGTTATCTGCCTGCAGATGCTTTACAGTATATCTGTACTGTTCAAGAACCATGAGCTTGCCTTTACACCTAGAGTTTTCTTATTTCCTATTGCTTTTTCTTTAATAATGTTTTTTGTTGTTGTTGTTGATGGACCTTGATTTTATTTATTTATATGTGGTGCTGAGAATCGAACCCAGTGCCTCTCACATGCCAGGCAAACACTCTACCACTGAGCTACAACCCCAGCCCTAATAGTGTTTTGAAAGAATAATACTGTCAGGAAGAGGGTAAGTGGTGGTCGACCCTGACCCCCATGTTAGAGCTGACAGTTCCCCCCACCAGTCCATGCAGTGCCAAGCTTATTGTTCCAGGAAGAGGCAGGAACACATGTAATTTTTATCTCTTCTGAGTGTGATCCAAAAGAGGTCCTAGAATTAATACAACAGAAAGGATGCTATTTTCAAAATGTGTTAGGCAGTGTTTTAGGTTGACAGTTGATCTTTCTAATGACCCTATAAAGTAGGGTCTATTACAAACCCAAAATTTACAGATGGGGAAACCAAGGCACAGAGCTTCTCCCACTTTACATACCACAGTTTTATCTCTGTATAATTGGAGCCACTGTACTGCACAGATAAGTGTTTGATACTTGGGAGAGAAAAACTATGCTAAGTGGTCCCTTGTCTTCTTAAGGACATCTTGGGAAGGTGGTACTCATGCCCCTTGGATGCAGGTTTGCTCTTATAAAAGATCCTTAAAAACCGTATATGAGGTGCATGGTCAGCTTGCTTCTATTCAAAAATCTTACAAAATATAGTTATCTTATGGGGCCTTTTCCTTTGAGGTACGGCTTAGACTCCAAATTGATTTCCTCTTTACTGGTTCAAGGTTTGACTCTTTATTCTGAGGTTATTTTTTCTCCCATCCTTTTATGTAGCTGAAAATTCAAGTTGCTGCAAAGACTGTCTTCGAAGGCTTCACAGAGGGTGAGCTCACGTTCCAACCTACCTATAAGTATGACACCGGTTCCGATGACTGGGACACCAGGTAGGTCAGGGGTAAATTCAGTGGATTTAACAAATGGAAACCTGGGAATTCTGGGAAGCACATGCCCTCATGGACTTAAGAAGGACATAAATTTCCTCTCTTTCCCCAAGTTTTCCACTCTGGTCAAACATTTTCTGTCAGTATCTGTTGATGAAGCAGCCAGCCTTCCCAAATATTTTCTTTTAACTGTCATAAGCTTTGCTCCATAATAAATCTTTTTTGTTTTTTTTAATATTTTTGTCTGGTGTTGAGGATCAAACCCAGTGCCGCACACATGCTAGGCAAGTGCTCTACCTCTGAGCCACAACCCCAGCCCCATAATGTCTTGATACTGATTTACTTTTCAGCTGAGCTTAGGGTGATGAGATAACTCCAATTAAGCTTGTTCTTGGTCATTACACAGTACTTAGAATCTTTTTATTAGTGCTTACTGTGTGCCACACACTATTTGAGACACGTTATTATCTCATTTAATCATCTCAACAACCTGCTGAGGTAGGTATTATTTATTATCATCATTGTATGAGATTGGGGTTGAGGCATAGAGAAATCAAAAAGCCTACCAAACAGGCAAGTGGTGGAGGCAGGACTTGAACCCAGGCAGTAGGAGTTCAGCCTGTCCCCTTAACCACCGTCCTTGAAGGCCAGGCCTACTCTCATATCACCTTTTTACGCTCTCCTAATCCCCACAGGAGGATGAAGAGCCTCTGATTCTCTAACCAGTCTGAACTGTGTTGGACTTTGAGCTTTCATAATTGCTTTGGATAATAACCCTGTTATTTGGATGCATGTTATTTCTTGGTGGGCCCAACTTGTTCTGCTGTCTTAGATCACTAGGCCACATGGATACAAAGTCTTTGCCTCATTGTTTCCTGCCTGAGCCAGAGCACTAGCCAGGCAGTGGACCCTGCTGTAGTTGCTGTGAGTTTCCCCAGCATGGACTTTGCATTTCAGTGAGAAGTGTCGTGCTCCTGCCTGGTGTGACCGGGTCCTCTGGAAAGGGAAGAACATCAATCAGCTGAGTTACCAGAGCCACATGGCCCTGAAAACCAGTGACCACAAGCCTGTCAGCTCTGTATTTGACATTGGGGTAGGTGGGCATTGATGCCTGTTATAATCTTTCTGTAGGGAATTTGTTTTCACATCAGGATTATGTTTTGTCTTTTTGGTCTCTACCACCACCCTTAATATGAGGAGGTACCTTTTAAAATTTGTCTTAGTTTAATAATCGTTTTGGTATCATTCTGTGTATTTCCACATACTTGGAAGATTTGCTTTTTGGACTGTATTGTTCCAGACCTTTCTTTATTCATTTACAAATGAGTCTATCAGTATTCTTATACAACAAACAGGATATTTTTATTTTTCTCTTTTTTTTAGAAAAGAGTTCACATTGTACATATTGTTCTGAGAATATGTACATGTATCTTAGACAGTCTTTCCATATCGGTACAAGCAGAGCTACCTCATCATTTTAAAGGTTGAAAACTATTCCATAGTGTAGGTGAACCATAATGCATCAATGATCATTTAAGTTGTTGCCAAAACTTTGCTATTATATGCAGTGCTATAGTGAACATCCTTCACATATATTTTTGTATATGTGTGAGTATTTCTATAGAATGAAATGACATTAGAAAATTGTATTTTAGCTGGGCACAGTGGAATGTGCCTATAGTCACAGCTACTTGGGAGGCTAAGGCAGGAGGATTGCTTGAGCCCAGGGGTTCAAGGCCAGCATGGGCAACATAATAAGACCCCCATCTCGAAAGAGAAAAAAATTTGTGTTTTTTAAATTTTATTTTATTTATTTATACATACTAGGGATTGAACCTAGGGGCACTTTACCACTGAGCTACATCCCCATCCCTTTTTATTTTTTGAGAGAGTCTCTCTCTGTAAGTTGCTGAGAGTCTCACTAAGTTGCTATGGCTGGTTTCAAACTTGTGATCCTCCTTCCTCAGCCTTCCAAGTTGCTGGGATTGCAGGTATGTAGCACCATGCCCAGCTCAAACAGTTTTCATTCATTATCTATTGATATTTCTCCATCAGTGACTTCTGAGATGCTTTTAGTACCAATTTTCAAGGTATGGACAGAAGCATATCAAAATCTATGAGGATGTGTATAGTTTGAGAAAAGTCAATATTATAATTAATTGTTACTGGAAAATGAAAAAAAAATTATAATTCAAAATGCAGAAGAAAGAGCCTGACAAAAATCTTCCTGGCTGATAGAGCATGCGTTAAAAAAAGCCTGAGAGGGCTGGGATTGTGGCTCAACGGTAGAGCGCTCACCTCGCACAGGTGGGACCCAGGTTCGATCCTCAACACCGCATAAAAATAAGGGCATTGTGTTGTGTCCATCTACACCTAAAAAATAAATAAATATTAAAAAAAAAAAAAAAAAGCCTGAGAAACACTGCTTTAAATCAGAGCTCTAGAAAAGTTTCCCACTGCTAGCCTGAGGGTGGCAGCAAGCAACATAGACCTGGGCACTGAACCTCTTTCCGCCAGGGGCCAGATGTGACAGAATTAGCTGCCAATTAATTAGCTTTTACTCCTGTGTTTTCTTTCTGCTATTCAGGAAGCAGGTGACTTTTTACCACAGCTTAAGGATCCTTCTAAGACTATTGCTAATTAGGTTCTTTGTTAATAAACTAAATTTATTTAGTTATCTACTGCTGTTTCTCAATGCTGTGAATGCCCTCTATCCAAAAAAGAGGAAGTGGGTAGAAGCCTTGGTACTTAGTTTCTGATGTTTCCCTTCCAGGTGAGGGTCATAAATGAAGAACTGTACCGGAAGACTCTGGAGGAAATTGTTCGCTCCCTGGATAAGATGGAAAATGCCAACATTCCGTCTGTGTCTCTCTCTAAGCGAGAGGTAGGAAAGACATGTTAAGAATATTAGTAATGGGCTCTTCTATTGCTAGTACTTGAATCTCCCTTTTCTACTAAAGCTTAGAATTTCTGGAGGCTGTTAGACTCTAGACTTCCTGGAGAGGCTCTTTCTAGATAAAGAAAGGCCGATGATGCTAGCTGAGAAGAGAGAGGTGTTGGCTTAGGTTATATTCATGTCCTCATCTTCTAAAGCAGAAGATGATCCCAAACGTGCATTGTTTGATTTTAGAATAACTCATGTGTGTTCTTGCAATGGAATTGTCTTTCTACTAATGCTTTAAGATTAAATCAATTCTGAATTTTTTTGTTTTTACATAGAAAAGTGATGCATAGAAAAGTGATGGGCAGTAGGGAAGTCCAATTAGATCTAAAGGTTTTTCATGAAAAGATTGCAGCATAGGTCTTTCAAAGTTGACCAAACCACACAGTCAATCAAATGGAGGCTATGGTAAAGGTACGTTTAATGCTATAGATGTCCACCTACTTAGAAGGGTGAATTTTTGAAGCATATTTTGGAAATGGTTATGGATATAGAAGATATAAACTTTGATTCCTTTGGGAAATTTACATGTAAATTTATATGTACAACCTTGAGATTTTAGAGTTTTGGGTTAAACACAAATAACTGATCTTTAGTGGTAGCTGTGTCTTCTGAGGTAAATATCTAATGCAGAGACATTGAAAAGAGATGGTCCTTTATTTTCTTCCCAGGGTAAAGATTGTGTAGTTGGGTTGGCCAGGCAGGTGGCCAGGGAGAGGGTACTGGTTCTGACTTGTTGGGTGCTTGTTCTCAGTTCTGTTTTCAGAATGTGAAATACATGCAATTGCAAGTAGAGTCCTTTACAATTCATAATGGACAAGTACCCTGTCAGTTTGAATTCATCAACAAGCCTGGGGAAAACTCTTTCTGTAAGCAGTGGCTGAGTGCCAACCCCAGCAAAGGATTCCTCCTGCCAGGTAAAGTTTCTCTTCTTGGTTCCTGGTTTTTGGTTTGGGGAATGCCCTACCCTATTTTTGATCATTTTCCTAAAATAAGCTTTTTGCTTCTGAGTGAAAATTTTATTTTAAACCCAATACTTGAACTCATCTATAAATAAAGTATAAAATGACAAGGAGCATGGATTCAGTTTTAAAAATATTTTCAGCCAGGCACATGTTTCATAATTTCTCAGAGTAGACATTGGATTACTGTAAAGAAGGTGCTGCTGCCAAGGAGCCGTTTCCCCTGTCTGTCTTGGTGTCATTAACTCCCAATGATCTGCTCTCAAGGAGAAAGATAATGGGGTAGTAATCCAGAAATTTATTCTGGTTCTCAAATGACTTCTCCTTTGCACCCTGCAAGTGGCTGTGATTTTAAGAAAGATTAAGGGTGCTTTGTGGACAATTCATAGGCTGATAACTGCATCACATTTCTACTGGATCAGGTGTCTTCATCTTAGCTGACTCAGGGAAGGTTCTTTTATTCATGCCTTCTTGTTGATTTATAGGTGTTATTCAGTACTTGAGTTTTTTAGCATTTGTCTATTCAAATGCTTTTGTTTGTTGTTTTCATATTTCCAGTTGTTCTATGAACTTCTATTCTAGTGTCTCCTGAGTTCTGAGCACATAGATACTGGTTGTTGGTTGATATCTTTTATTTCCTTTTCCTAATTCTTTATGCCTTACTCTTTTCTCCCTATCTGTCCCCACCCTTTCCTCTTGGCCTTTCCCTAGCCAACATTATTCTTTTTCAATATTTCTGCAGATTCTGACATTGAGATTGAGTTGGAGCTCTTTGTAAATAAGACCACAGCTACAAAACTCAACTCAGGTGAAGACAAAATTGAGGACATTCTGGTTTTGCACTTGGAAGGGGGAAAAGATTACTTTTTGTCTGTGTCTGGGAACTACCTGCCCAGCTGTTTCGGGTCCCCCATTCATACACTGTGCTACATGAGGGAGCCAATCTTGGACCTGCCATTGGAAACTGTTAGTGAGCTGGTGAGTAACATGCTACAAGGAAACATCTAGAACTGTGTGGTGCAGCCAAGCCAAACAGGGTGTTCCAATGCCCACTTGCCTAGGGAATTAAGACTTCTTCAGCCTTCTAGAGCTTGCTTAGTGTGTCAGTTACATATTTTTGTGCATCAAGCCACCCCCAAATTAAAACAACAGTGAGTCATTGGTTTTTCTCCTGGTCTTGCCTAGACTCGCTTGGCCATCGTAATCAGGAGGCACCTGTGATGGTCAGAGGGTTGGCTGCTAATGTGGCCTCCCTCCCGGTCTTGGTGTTGGCTGCTGTCTGGGCCCCTCTCTCCACATGGCCTCTCATCATTCAGTGGGCTAACTCAGGCTTCTACACATGGTGACCAAAGCACGAGAGCAGATGGTATAAGGGGTTTGGTGGTATTAGCTCCAAACTCACATAGTACCAATTCTGCCATATTTTATGGGCCAGAGCAAGATGTGAAGCCAGCCTAGATTCTAGGGGCAGAGAAAGACTCAATCTCTTGATGGGAAAAGCTGCAAAATGCGGCTGTGTTTTTGGTTTTTTACATCTAGGAGATATCTCAGTCTATTCAGGCTGCTCTAACAGAACACCCTAGAATGGGTGGCCTGTCAACCACAGAAATTTACATCTTACATTCTGGAAGCTGAGAGGTCCAAAATAAAGACACCGACAGATTTTGTGTCTGGTGAAGGCCACTTCCTGATTCATAGAGAGCCATCTTCTCATGGAGTCCTCACATGGCACAGGATGTGAGGGAGATTTCTCGGATCTCCTGTAGGACACTAATCCCCTTCATAGCCACACAGTCCCAAATACTTAACCACATTCCCAAATCCTACCTCCAATTATGATCACATTGGTGATTAGGATTCAACATATGAATTGGGGGTAGGGGTTAAACATTCAGTATTTAACAGTATATTAGAGAAATAAATCCTAAGATAATGGAAGTTCCCTGACCCATGATCTTATTCATTTTTAAAAAAATCATTACCTGGTAGATTAGCATCTTAAACTAAATTTGCTGAGATCTAAAAGGCTCTTATGGAGAGAATTCTAATACAAGTGAATTAGTTTGGGGCAGATTTATGGTAATATGTATGCTTTCTTTTCCCAATGCATTTTTTTTATTTAGGGACTCTTGAATTATCCTCTCCATTATATAGATGAAAACAGAGATCCAATCAAAGAGAGTGATTTGTCACAGGTCACATGGTGAGTCAACAGTGGACCTGGACCTTGGACTCAGATTTTTGGACTCCCAAGTGTGTGCTCTTTCCTTACCAGACCACACTGTCTTTCTGGTTCTAACAGTGAAATACTACAGGCATGATTTTTATCTAAGAAAATGGTGCATATTTTCACCTGATTCATTGAAACTGCTTGCCATAATCCTCTCCCAATTTTCAGAAGCCACCTTTTGTCCCACCTGATTTCATTTTTGCCTGTGCAGTGTTTGGTTAAAGGCATTGAAATGCTTCCCTCTTCCATGGGTTTGCTGTCCCCATATTGTGCATTCTACAAAGCCATCCTGGCAGAGTTCCATTGTAGGTCACCTACCTTGTCATGATTTTTCTTTAATTTCAGACTCTGATGCCAGTGCAGACTGAAGATGATGGGAGCCGGTTAGAGAAACCCATGGAAATCCCCAAAGAGCTCTGGATGATGGTGGATTACCTATACCGAAATGCTATCCAGCAGGTAGGGTGTGGCTAAGCAGTCAGACCTGATTTGAAGTCAGACTGCCTTGAGGAAGACCATTAGATCCAAGAACTTCTTGCGTGGAAATGCAAGAAACTTGTGAAGAGCTGTTCTTCCCCCAGGGAATGAGTGAGAGGTTTTGTGCCTTGTTTCGCATCCTGGTGCAGTACGTGATTACACATAGTACTTGATTACCCCAGTGGAAGCAGCCTTGCACTGAACAATCTCCAGCACAGCATGTTCCTTTCCTAGGTCTCTAGGGTCCTCCAGCAACAAAGCCATATGAAGGCCTTCTGGGATGTCTCATTTGTGGGAAATTTCACCAACTTCTTGGAATGGGAGGCGCTAAATTGTTGAAAGTCCAGGCAGAGACAGAGGACCAAATGGAACCCCCATGAATCTGGAGGCCTGATTTCTAGACGAACTTGGGCAAGCTTCATGGGGTCAATTGGTCAGTTTGACTGACCTGTCTATATAGGTTCCACAGAAACCTACACAAGTTGTAATCCCACAGCATACTTTTTTTTTTTTTTGGCAGTTCTGGAGACCAAAGCCAGGGCCTCATACATATTAAACCAAAACTTTACCACTAAGCTACATCCCTAGTCCAGCAACATACATTCTTATGATGTTCTGTTTTCACTTCACATTTGAGTGTTGCAGTATACCAAACACTGTTCTCAGTGTTTCGCTTCATTGCCTCATTGAATTCTTGTAATAGTTCTCAGATGAGGAGACAGATGCCCAGAAAGTGAATAAATTAGTTAAGGTCCTCAGGCTGATTAATAGGCAGGGTTAGGAATATGGCTGTAGAAGTTACATTTTTGAGTACTTTGCTAGTCTACCTTCTCGGGAGAACTTTTAAATGTAACTTTTGAGCAATACATTTAATACTGTTACTTTTAACACAGTTATATAATGTTAAATCAGTTTATAAAACATGAATGTAAAGTATCCTGAGACTATTGGAAATAACCTTTATTGCCATAATCTTGTTGGTTCAGTGTTCTGAGGTACCTTTTTAGCTTTATCCGTCTTACAGATGATATATTTTTTTCAGTGTGTCCCAACTTCCCCCTTAACCCCTTCATAACAAGGCAGGAAACAGCTACTTTTAAGTTTTCTCTTACGTTGGATCTTGTCTTGGATAGTGTGCCCTACCCATAGTTTTATAATAGATGCCTAAAGACCTATTGCACAACCATGTCTGAGAAGATGAATTAGCCACATCAACCTAAATCATATTGTCAACCAGGATGATTCAGAGATCTCTTGACACTGCTCCGTTTGTACTTTGATTTTCTGAGAAAGTAATTGTCCTGTGACTTTCTTCCTTCTTGCAGGAAGATCTATTTCAGCAGCCAGGCCTGAGATCAGAATTTGAACATATCAGGGACTGTCTGGATACTGGAATGATTGATAATCTCTGTATCCTTCAGATGTTCAGATCTGTGCATATGTGTGTATGTGTGAAAATGAGTGAGAGCGGTGAGAAAAGGGTAAGGATATTTTTTTAAGGTTTGTAGTCTGAATCTGGTCCTCAATCATCATATTTTTCTTTCTTAAAGTTTGCCTAGAAAAATTTTACAACCTTAAGCAACCAATATAGCAGGAAATTAGGAAGGCCTGGCTCACTTGACAGTGTGGCCCCTTCCAGATGTCAGGCTGACATCCTAGCTCTGAACAGAAAGCCTGATGAAGCAGTGCTAGCATGTACTTCTAGCATGTGCTGGCCCTGGGCCTTCTCCTAATCGTGGGCAACATCACTACCTGTTCCTTAACGATGGGCCAAAAGCTGCTAGCAATCATTCTGTAGCTGAAGCCTTGCTGCTTTTCCTGGAGAGCCTGCCAGAGCCTGTCATCTGTTACAGTGCCTACCATAACTGCTTGGAGTGTTCTGGCAATTACACAGCAAGCAAACAGGTAAGGGGAAGCACTGAGCACCAGCATACACATGTTGCTAGCCCTAGGCAATGAGGCCTGATGAACAAAGTGGGCATAGTCGCTGAAGTCTTAGAAACTCAGTACCATGTCTTTCCTTCTCAAACCTGTTCTTCCTCTTGAGTCCTTTTTTCTTTTAATAGCATCACCCTTAATTTCAGTGACTCAGTCCCGAAACCTAAGTCATTTCTGACTCCTCCTTCTCCTCACCTCCCACATGCCTGGATCCATTGATCTATCACTCATCCTCTATCTTCCGTTCTCATTCTGCCTACCTGGGTTCAGTTCCCTCATTCAGGCTCTCCCTCTGCTGACTTGTTTTGCATACTGTCATCCAAAGCATACAGTATTCTAAAGTTCTCCTTATGTTGGTTAAAAAAAAAAAAAAAAAACACAGTTAGCGGGGGTGGGGTTGTAATTCACATGTGAGCCACTGGGTTTGCTCCTCAGCACCACATAAAAATAAATAAATAAAATAAAGGTATTCTGTCCATCTACAACTAAAAATATACATTAAAAAATCACACTTGGAATGTGGCATGTATATACAATGAAATATTACTCAGCAATAAAAGAGAATAAAATCATGGCATTTGCAGGTAAATGGATGAGTTAGAGAAGATAATGCTAAGTTAAGTTAGCCAGTCTCAAAAAACCAAATGCCGAATGTTTTCTTTGATATAAGGAGGCTGATTCATAGTGGGTTAGGGAGAGGGAACATGCGGAGAATAGATGAATTTTAGATAGGGCAGATGGGTTGGAAGGGAAGGGAGGGGGTATGGGGTTAGAAATGATGTGTAATATGATGATCATTATTATCCAAAGTACATGTAAAAAGACACAAATCGGTGTGAATATACTTTGTATACAAACAAGGATATGAAAAATTGTGCTCTATATGTGTAATAAGAATTGTAATGCATTCTGCTGTCATATATAAATTAAAAAAAATAGCAGTATACAAAATAGAATTAAGGCAAAAATCATTAAATGCCACATACTGATTAATTTTATAGTTTTAAAAATAATATTCTGTAATGAATATTTAACAATTCAAACCTTTATATACTAAATACTATAACATTGAAATAACAAAATCAGGGCTGGGGTTGTGGCTCAGTGGTAGAGTGCTTGCCTAGCACATGCAGGGCCCAGGGTTCAATCCTCAGCACCATAAAAATAATAAATAAAGGTATTGTGTCCAACTACAACTAAAAAATAAGTATTAAAAAAAAGAAATAACAAAATCAGTAGAAAAGTGTCATGATGTGAATATTTGTGTCCCCATCCAATTCTTATGTCGAAATCCTAACCATGGAGATGATGGTATTAGAAAACTGGGCTTTGGGGAAATGATTAAGTCACATGGGCAGCAATATGATTGGAATTGGTGTCCTGACAAAAGAAGAGTACTGAGAGCTAGCTAGTCCATCCCAAAATGTGAGAACACAGTGAGAAAGCACCATCTACGAGTCAGGAAACAGGCCCTCACTCAACACTGAATCTGCCAGTATCTTGATTTTGGAGTTCTCAGTCTCTAGAACTCTAAGGAATAAAGTCCTATTATTTGTAATGTAAAAAAAAAAAAAAAAAAAAAAAAAAAAGTCATACTTGGTTCTCCACTGTCAATTATTTTCTTAAATATTCAAGACTTTCTGATTTAGCTAAACGGTTCAGTGTACAACAGGTATTGACAGAATAATCTAGAAAACTGGCCAGTAACATAAGTTCCAGAGCATGACCCCACATCCACTGAATCAAAGTGACTTTTGATATCTATTTTATACAAACTCCCCAGCTGAGTCTGATGTATAGATAGCTTTTCATTGAATTCTAGCCTGAACAACTGCTCCTATTAAAATGGTTATGCTCCTTCCAAGATTGACATATCAAGTGTTCTCTCAGCTTACCTTCTGTTTTCCTTTACATTTTTTCTATCCCACATTCCCTAGTCCTTACCTCTACAAATCCAATTTTGTCTTATATTCAGGACCCAACAAAATATCTTTTATTCCTTTTTATTCTCCCTGAGAGCATGAAGTTAGAAATCTGACCTCTAAATTCATGTAGAGTTTGACTTGTGCTCTTTTTTGGTACTTATGCCAAGTGGTAAGGGATTATTTTTCTGTGCATAGTCTTATGCACATTCATGGATCACATACTCAGTTCTTGGAGTACAGTCACCAACTTGACAAATAATTGAATGAACAAAATGACAAATTCCAACTCTTCCTCTTTCAGGTTATTTCTACTCTTCCCACATTCCACAAAAATGTCTTCAACTACTTGATGGCGTTTTTGCAAGAATTGCTGAAAAATTCAGCAAAAAATCATTTGGATGAGAATATTCTAGGTAAGTGACCAAATGTCTGTGGCATCTCTGTAAACTGAGGATTCACTGTGAAGAAAAGAGATTGAGAAAGTTCCAAAGTACATTACAGTAGAATTAAAATTTCAAGTTTTGGCCAAAGTTTATATTGAAATAATTTTTTTTTTAAGCAAAGACTGCTTTTGGGTACCCCTCCCCACTCCTAACAACACAAGAATATGTAGTCCTTATTTTGCTAATCATTTATTTTCTGTGTTTTTTCATGCAGCTAGCGTATTTGGCAGCTTACTGCTTCGAAACCCAGCTCAACACCAAAAGCCTGAAATAACAGAGAAAAAGAAGGCTCAAGAGTTTATTCACCAGTTCCTATGCAACCCACTCTGAGCCTTTCTGTCCCATCCCTTGTTTTACCCAAGGTAGCCAATTTCCAGCTCCACCTGTTGCAGCTCAAGAGACCCCTTAAAAACATTTGAGGTCATCTGGAAGCAAGAATGGCAGCTCCTGAGCCTAGACCTCCCCCCACCTGTGCCATCATTGATCAGCACACTCAGTGTAGAGCTGTGAAGACATGAGAGAAATCCACAATAATAAAACTGACGTTTGATGTTCAACTTAAGTTATTTAACACAAATAGATCTCTATTTTTTTTTTATTTAAAAAAAATTTTATACTTGTGCTCATTCAGCCTGCCTCCAGGGCACAGTCAATTCCTTCCCTGTAGCCTAGACTGAGCTCCTCAAGATCAGATATTTGAACAAACTTTTGAAGTCCTGAAAAGACAATGAAATGGACATTAAGAATGTAGGTGGATGCTCCTGGATAAACAAGCTTTAGCCTCCTGAGATCCTTCGGTTGCCCAGTCTGAGGACATGTGAAAATACATATGGAACTTCTATCCCTTTCCTACTCGGATATAGTTCAATAATTCTGAGGCTGGCCACTCAGCTTCTGAGGGCAATACAGTGGCTTAAAAGTGCAAACACTGAAGAACTGAGTTTTCTGGTGAAACAGGTGGAATTTTCTAGGCCAGCAAGTCCTCCAAATTGTATATGAGCATAATCCCTCTCATATTTGTAATATATTTTAATGATAAACATTTTTAAACAGTGGTGGTTGTGTTATGCTTTTCTGTCTTGATGGTGACTGGACCCTTATGGCTTAAGCATTGAAACAGCTTATCAGGGGCTAAAGACATGTCTTGCAGTCTGGTGCAGTCACTGCGCACATTTTTCAAGCAAGCTAGTACAGCCATGGCCTGAACTCCTTGGCCCCTGATCTAGTGTCTAGGAGTTGTCCCACTCTGAATATCCTAGAGAAGTAGCTCATGGGAAAAACAGGCAGTGACTTCTAGGAAGATCTCACATCCAGATCTTACAGGCATTTAGAAAGGACAGGCGCATCACAGAAGCACTTGCAAAATTGCTTCTTGGGCACTGAAATGCTATAACTTCTTGGTAATTCTGTGAATTAGAGACAAGCCAGTAAGATGAATAAGAAAAGGAGTGGCCAGTAGGTGGCGTTGACTGGTCCAGGCACGAGAATCCCCCGAGGAGGAAAGTTGGGACTGCCAGCCTGGGCAGGAGTGGGAGCAGGCAGGAAACTGGGCGTCTCGTGAAAGCTTGTGAGAAGGGAAGAAGGGGCAGCGTTCCCTCTGGCTGTTTCTGGAATACTCCTAGCTCTGTCCCTTGGATCTGCTCCTCCTTTCTGGGACCCTCTGGCCCTGTGAACGAAGCTGGGTGATTAGGGGACGCTGGCGCCGTAGAGGAAGTCCAAGAACACCACAGCCTTGCAGGCTCGTCCCTTGAGGGCCCGAGTCCGGAATCTGGCGGCAAACTGGGGCTCCTGCAGTAGTGTCGCGAGCTGAGCTGAGGAAACTTGGGATTCGCGGTTGGCATCGCCCCCTTCCCTTACGCCGGGAACGGCCGGCTTAAAGCCCCCAGCGCCTCCCGGCGCCCGCACCAAGCCCGGGCGACGTCCGCTGCGCGCCGCCCCGCCCCCCACCCGCCAATTGGAAGCTCAGGCTCGGCCCTCGGGCCGCTGAAGCCAAACTGCAGCGCCAGAGAGGGGCGGAGCCGCTGTCCCCTCCTTCCTCCGGAAAGCGGAAGCGGAAGTGACGTTAGGGGAAGGTGGGGGCAATCATGGTGCCGCTGGGGAGGGGAGAAGCTGCTGCCGCTGCTGTTGCCGGGAGCCGCGGAGGTAAAAGGCGAAACTGGACTCGGCTATGGCTGGGACTGTTCGGGGGGCGAGGGACCTAGGCTTCCTCCTGAAGCAGTTCCCAGTAGAGACCCGTCCGCTCGCCGTAAGGACCCCACCCCTTCTCGGTTTCCATGGGGATGGGTATCCAGCCCCCCTTTCCTGTTTCCATGGAGACCCGGACCCTGCCCCTCTTCGTCCGGCTGGGAGCCCCCCGCTTGTCTTGGGGTTTTTCCGTGTAGTCCTGGACTGGGGGCTATCCCAGACAGGTTCCCTTTCTCAGCTTTCTCTCAAGGGTGCTCCGTTCGCACTCCTCTTTGGCTACCCTCAAAGCTGTGTGTCTTGTTTGTCCCGGACAGTTGGTTTCCGCTTTGCCGCCAGAGGTGCTGGGCAGTCCACTGGGTCCCTGGGAACTCTCATCTCTTCTCTCAGATGAAGCGAAACGTGCATCTATGGGGTTGCGTAAGCTAGAGCAAGGGGTCGGGCCGGTTCCTCCCGGATTAGATCCCTTGACCTGTCTCTGGTAACTACCTCTCCGGTCGCCTCACTACGTAAAGGCTCACTTTCTAACCCTCAGCAGAAGAGAACGATAAAGTGCAAAGCCGGACTGAAAACTAAGTGATGTACTGATTATTTTAAAATTCTCTGTTCTGCCTGCGGAACCCACATTTATAGAACCTGTGTGTTTGCCAGTGAAGGAAGAATCACTATTCCAGTCCATGAAAGCTTCAGATTTGATATTTTCACCAAGAGAGCGTGTCTTCCCAGGAGACGCTGTCTTTTTAAGAGAGAATATCTACATGTCTTTCATTCATTTAAATGGCATTTCTTGAACTCCAGGAAGTGTCATGTAATATGCTAAGTACATTCCCTCCCAGCAGAGAGCCCACTATACAAGGATATCTTCTGGTTCATACCTTATTGTATTGTGAGATAAATAATTAAAGTGATCTTCATTAGATGTGCCTTTTTGGGGTTTAGCCCTTCCATCCAGAAGCTGAAACACTTGTTCTAGGAAGGAGGGAAGGAATTCTCACTTGTTCCTCTACTATTTGTCAGGTATTGTGCTTTGCATACATTATCTGTTTTATTTCTCATAATAACTTTGAGAGAACAGAAATTACTAGTTCCATCTTACATATAAGAAAAATGAGCACTGAAAAATTACGCAAGTAGTAAGGGCAAAGCTGGGATCTGTTGCTGAATAAATAGGCCCAAAGCCTTGCTCTTTCCATCATAGACTACATGAGGCCCTGAACTGCCTCAAGTTGTGATTTGGGGGATATTGAGTGGAGAATTCCTTACTTTAAGATTTATAGCAACAGTCTTGAAGCAGCCACTGTTCTGTTTGCTTCTTTAGGTATTTTGAACAGTCTTCAAATTGATTGACAAAAAAGCACACTTAGGAAGTCGCATGAACTCTGCTACTATTCCTTCAATTCTGAGGGGGGAAAACTATTGCTTTCCATAAAAAATGACTTGGCTGTCTTAAGTTAAAATTTTAGAACTTATTTCCAAGGAAGATGATTTTTCATTTGTTTTGATTTGCTCTTTAAATGAGAGGAAAAATGAGTCCTAAGGTTGCTGAGGATGGTAGAAGGAGGGTCTTGTGGTGTGGCTCTAACTCTGGTTTTGTCTGTTGCAGAAAGCTCATTATCTTTCCATTTCTCACAATTGGGCTGAGTACGACTGAACCATGGGGGAACACAGTCCAGACGACAACATCATCTTCTTTGAGGCAGAGGAAGATGACCTGACCCCCGATGACAAGATGCTCAGGTTTGTGGATACCAACGGACTGGTGCCTTCCTCATCTGGAACTGTTTATGATAGGACCACTGTTCTTATTGAGCAGGACCCTGGCACTTTGGAAGATGAAGATGACGATGGACAGTGTGGAGAACACTTGCCTTTTTTAGTAGGGGGTGAAGAGGGCTTCCACCTAATAGATCAGGAAGCAATGTCCCAGGGTTACGTGCAACACATTATCTCACCAGATCAAATTCATTTGACTATAAACCCTGGTTCCACACCCATGCCAAGAAATATTGAAGGTGCAACCCTTACTCTACAGTCGGAATGTCCGGAAACAAAACGTAAAGAAGTAAGTAAAGCAGTGGGTGAGGGCCCATTTTGGCTTTGGGGCAACTCCTTACACAACTCTTGTTGGCGGTTTTAACAGGGGAGTAAAGGAGACCCTGTGCTTAGAGCCTGTAATGGTTTTGCCTTTCAACAGTATGCCTCATGTTTGTTCTGTCTGCTTCCTAGAACTTTTGGATTGTATAGCTACATTGAAATTTAGGAATACTAAATAATAATATTTCAAATTTTCTTTCCCAAATCATAAATAAAATAAAAATTTTACTGAAGTAAATCCATGTTTCACATGATAGAATAACTAAATTTGGCATATCTGATAGTGCGTTAACTAGATTTGGCTCATCTCTGGGTTGTTTATAAATGGTATGTTTTGGAGATGAGTATCTACTGGAATATGCTTTATTAACTTAGAGAATGTTTAATGAATAATAAAGGCTAGCTTAATTATATTAGAAATTCAGACAAGACAGCAAATGAGAGTAGGTTACCTAAACAAAGTTGTCATGTTTATACCTAGGTAATGTGAGGTAATGAATGTCAGGATGCTTTGAAAATTGTAAAGCATTTTTTTACAATTTGTACTAGTGGTGATGATAAGTGGAATAAAAGATATGGTTTAAAGGTGCTAAGCTGGTCTCAGTGGCTCATGTCTATAATTCTGGCAACACTGGAGGCTTAGGCAAGAGGAATGCAAGTTCAAGTCTAGCCTCTGCAACTTAGCAAGAACCTACCTCAAACACAAATGGGGATGTAGCTCAGAGGTAAAGTGCCATGGGTTCAAGTCTCAGTGCCATTAAAATAATAATAATAATAATAATAATAATAATATATGTATGTATGGTTAAAAAAAACTAAACTTTATCCAGAAACTATTAATTTAATTGGTTGATTAAAATAAATAGATCACTGATAGTTGCAGTGCTGGGTGCTAAATGTAAGATGCTACCATGAAGAAATACAGTAAATTATTTAAGAAAACATTTTTTCTTTTTTGCCATAATTAAGTTCTTGAAATTACATGTGGCTTATACATATAGCTTATTCATATTATTTGGCTTTTCCTTGTCTAGATTTAGGATCTCAGAGCTAGAAGGAACCTTAGAGAGACCATTTTGTCCTACCTCCTGCCCTATGCAGGAATCTCTCGATAACATTTCTGATATCGGTTCATTGGTTTGTGCTTCACACTTCCAGAATGACAAAAGCGTGGTCTTTCACAGCTCAGCCCAGTACATGTGCTGGCCACTTTGATTGTTAGAAAGCTTTTGCTTCTATAGAACCAAAATCTGCCTTCTTGCAGGTGCTACAGACTAGTTCTAGGTCTGCCTTCCTGAATAATCTTCCTGTCTCAGGACAGCCAGTTAGATCATGTAAAGATCATGGGTTTCTCTTCATCTCTTGTTCAGGCCAACCATTTCCATTTAGTTAAATATATCCCTCTTGCAACATTTTCCCCCAGTTTGTCATTGGCCTTGTCACCTTTAATTGAATGAACTCCAGTTTTCCAAAGTCCTTTTAAAATCCAGAGTGTGAGTCAACTAGCATTGAATCCTCTACGGCTCTTATCTCTTAATCTGGACATTGTACTATGGTTACTATGTAGTCTATATTATTGGCAACAAAATCTTAACTGTTAGCTTGTACTTGGAAAGCTGTGGAATAGTGGTTCTCAACTGGGGCAGTTTTGCCACCTGGGATACATTTGGTAATATCTGGAGACATTTTTGATTCACACTGGGGAGGTACCCTGGAATCTAATGGATAGAGGCTAATGATGCTGTTGAACATTTTACAGTGCATAGAACAGTTCCATGCAATAAAGAAGTTCCTGGCCCAAAATGTTAACAGTGCTCAGATAGAGAAAACTTTGCTCTGTATCATTCTCTTGAGTGCAGATAGATATGGAGGCCTCCATATCAGCTATAAGAACAGCACCCTACTATGTTTGTTCTTACTGGTTTTAACCCAGTAATTGAACTTTTAAGAGTTTATTTCAATTCAGCAAACAGTTATAAAGCAAGGTGCTGTTATGCTCTGTGGGGTTGCAGATGATTGTGATGATTTACAATATAGAAGTAGAAATATATTTATGACAGTCATTGCAACATTAGGTATAATGTGGTAAATGTGAAGGAGAGGTGCAGATATCGCATTGGGAGCACAGAGAAGTTCACCTTTGGGATCAGGCAAGTTTTCTAGAAAAAAAGGTGTCATTTAAGCTCTTCTTAAACAAGGTATACAATTAATGGGGAATGCAAGGAAAATTCCTTTCAAGAGATGAGAATGGCATGAACAAATAAAAGGAGGTGGAAAATTCAGACCATTTTCAGGGAATAGCCAGTTATCTGTGAGAACAAAGGTTAGTATATCTTTTTTTGTAAGAAGCTAAATAGTAAATATTCCAGGCTTTGCAGGCTATTTTGTCTCTCTGTAACTATTCAACTCTTCCATTGTAGCACAAAAGGACCCTTAGATAATACATAAGTGAATGAGCATGACTGTGTTTTGTTGTTGTTTTTGTTTTTTGTTTTGGTACTTGGGATTGAACCCAGAGTTGCTGTACCATTAAGTTACATCCCCAGCCCTTTTTATTTTTTATTTGGAGACAGGGTCTTGCCAAGTCACTGAGGGTGGCCTCCAACTTGTGATCCTCCTGCCTCATCCTTCCAGGTTGCTGGGATTACAGGTGTGCACCACTGCACCCAGCTTGACTGTGTTCTGATAAAACTTTACAAAAACAGGCAAATGGGCTGGATTTGGCACACTGGCTGTGGAAGATAGGGAATAGAGAAGATAAGGATGGAAAGATAAAATCCAAATCTGGAAGGCAGTGGTAGCATGCCAAAGGTTTGTACTGTATTCTGAAAATATTGGAAAACCATTGGAGGTATGTGAGCCAGGAAGTGATGTGGTTAGAGTAGCATTTTAGAAAGAGTGTTCTGAGGCATACTTAGTGTCCAGTTAGGAGACGCTTGTAGCATAGGTTTGGGGTTTCATTTAATTCTGATGAGGGAAAAAAATTTAATAGTTATTTTTAAAGAGAGATGAGAGAACTTGGTATGGTATTGGAGTTTGAATAATAAGCCATGAGTTGGGTGTGATTCAAAGGCTTTGATCATGTTGATTAAAAAGATTCGGCCATTTTTTCAAGTGTGTTGAATTTCCTCTGTATCTTAGTAGAGCTGATTGATGGATCTGGAGAAGAGTGGTGTCAAGTTCACTGTGGTAGATACTCTAACCAAGGTATATTCATATTCATACTCAGATTGTGTGATTGCTGAAGAGAAAGTGGCTGACTCTGCTCTCCACCCTCTACCCCGCTCCCCTATAAATGGTGATTCCATTAATGGGAATCAAGATAGGAAGAGGAAAAGGTTTAGTGGGGAAATTGATGAGTTCAGTTGGAGTGATGTAGTCCTTGGAGATGAGTAATAAGAGTAAGTTAAAAGCCCATTGAAAATGTGGGTTCAAAGTAAGGAGTTGATGTGGAATTATTTCAAACTGTGGACAGTTTATTCAAGGGAGAAGTAAGAGTTGGTCTGAGAATTTAAAGATTGGAAAGAGAAAGAGGAACCAGAGAACATTGCTGTAGCCCGAGATAGTGCAATGCAGTGTATGGAAGTTGAGGGAAGAGAGGGGTCAAGAAAGGTGAGTATTCCTATGTGACCTTCTCAGAGGGATTGAGGAAACAAGGCCCTGTTTTGCCAGTTGTGTATTAGTCATTCATGTTATAAGGATGTTTTCGGTAGAGCACTGAGCTGAAGCCAGAGTTTGAGTGATGAAGAAAGTAAGTGGGTGATGAAGAAACAAGAGGCAGGAAGTAAGTATCAAGTTTTTTTTTTTTTTTTTTTTTTAAGTTTGATAGTTGACAGAAGTATGGTGAGGCAATAGTAGCTCAGGGGAACTGAGCCTTTTTTTGTTGTTGTTTTAACCATAGTAAGTTTGAGCATGATTTAGGACTTAACTTTTGGCCATCCTCAGTTAATAATTACTGTATGAGAATATTTCATGATTAAATGTTTGGGAAACATTAAATTAAACTAAGACAGAAATCTATTACAGTACTTTTCAGAACCTTTGATGTGCTTTTAAAGAAAGAAAATGTAGAATTTTCCAACTGTTATAAACTTGTGAAGCCATTTTTCAGGTTTTGTTTTCAGGGTTCAGCGGAGAACATTTTGAGAAATGCTGACCTAGGCAAAAGAGAAGATGATAGGAGGGAATGATAAAGCAGTGATCGTTAGCTATCATTTTCTCATTCTGTACTATTTGCAGATTTTGTTTATTCCATTTGCAAACCTGGTTTGTCATTTGTGTCTTCAGGTCATTGATAATCATGTTGAACAGGACAGGGTCAAGGATATCATCATGAGTACTTTGTTTAGTTTACTGTGGATTCAGTTCGATCAATGATACCTGTGTGGAAAAATAGGTAGGTGTGGGATTGGATGGGGATTGAGGAAGAAGCATCAATGGCTTTAGTTTTGGAAAATCTTACTTAATGACCAGACATTCAAAACATTTGCCTTTTTGAAGTGCCATCTTACCTTAGCTTATGATTTGACAGTGATTTTATTTTTGACATTAAAATCTATTTAATTGACTTGAAGAGGCCTGGTTTTATGACTTTTTTTTTTTTTTTTTTTTTTTTGGTGGTACTAGGGATTGAACCCAAAGAGCTTTATCACTGAGCCACATCCCTAGTCCTTTTTATTTTTTGAGACAGGGTCTTTCTAACTTGTCTAGGCTAGCCTCAAACTTTCGATCCTCCTACCTTAGCCTTGCAAGTCACTTGGGATTACACTGTGCCAGGCTTGTTTCTGATTTATTTGGTAACAGTGTCATGATATCTTAGCCACTCCTGCTTCCCCACCTTTTTATTAAACTTGTTTTTTTCCTGCATGTCCACACCACAGAGGTATTGTTCTTTTTTTTTTTAGAAAGAGTGAGTGAGAGAGAGAGAAATTTTTAGTGTTTATTTTTTAGTTTTCGGCGGACACAACA